GAATTAGAACAAATGGATGTTAAAACTGCTTTCTTGCATGGTGATCTTGAGGAGACCATTTACATGGAACAACCAAGAAAAGAAGGTTTGCCTCCTTAAAAGATCGTTATATGGTTTAAAGCAATCTCATCGTCAATAGTATAAACGTTTTGACACTTATATGATTTAAATCAACTTTAATAGAAGTAAATATGATAGTTGTGTTTATTTTAAATAAGTTTCTAAATCTGATTTTGTTTATTTACTTCTATATGTTGATGATATGTTGATTTCTTGTAAGTCTGTGCATTAGATTAAAAAGTTGAAGGATCTTTTAAGTAGAGAGTTTGAAATGAAAGATTTAGGACAAACAAAAAGAATTTTAGGGATGGATATAACTAGAGATCGTGTGAATAATAAGTTGTGTTTGTCTCTGAATTGTATGACTGCATTGTTAATGTTACCGTATTCTGTGATAGTCAAAGTGGCATTCACTTGTCTAAAAATCATTCTCACCATGAAAGAACTAAAATATTGATGTTAGATACCACTTTATTAGAGAAATTATCAATGATGATTTAGTTTCTGTTAAAAAGATATCAACTTATTTAAATGCAATTGATATGCACGTTTACTAAGGCATTGCCTTGTGATAAATTTAACCTATGTGTGAAAATGTTGCAGCTTGATACAGGGTGAAGATTTTTGTTGTTTATGGCAGCGGGCTCCCTCTTCGTTTCATGAAATTATGAAATCAAGGTGGAGATTGTTAATGTTGATTTAATAATGTGTTTTTTTTACTGCTGTCATTTATCCTTTTTTGGTCCTCTTTTACTTGTTATATTTTTATGGCCCATTCTTTTTTAAGTTAACCCAACCCATCTAAGTACTAGGTCTTGGGAGGCTTATATACGCATCATTATCCCTCTTTGTTGAAAATCCTAAGAGAGGAGAAAAATAGAGATAGAGGAGAGTCACCACCTTGAGAGAGAGAGTTTAAGCCACCACCTCCAACCACCTTCGATTCCATCACCTTCGCCGCTCACCGTGCCGTCGGGATTGGGTATAAATCGACGCCGCCGCCCGATTGAATAGAAAACGATGCCGCCGCCAGAGTGGTCGTGCAACCGTAAGGTTCTTTGGCGATTTTGTTCAAATCCGAGCTTGGATTCAGCGTAGATCTAAGCGTTGAGGTTGTATCTTTCTTTCTTTGTTGGTTCTTAACTATTCTTGAAGAGATTTACATGTATTTGAGATTGCTCCTCAAATCTCTTCAAGATTTTGAGTAGAAGCTTTCTTGAATTGTAGATCTTGACTCTCTGTTTTATGTTTTTCAATTATGTTTTGGTGTATATGCTTATTGTGTATTTGTATTTCAATCTTTGTAGTGAATAATAAAGACTTACAGGGATATTATCTTTGCAAAGTGGATGTAGGTCCTATTTTAGGACTGAACGACTATAAATCTTGTGTCAATTCTCTTTTACATTACTATTAGTTGCTGGAAATTATCTAAAAAATAATTGAAACGTTTCTGTGATTATTCGCCTCTTAGTTAGCTCTGTAAATACTCTTTTAGGCTATAAAGAACTCATTAAAAAGAAAATTGATTTTGAAATTTATATATAATTGTAACACTATGGATGAGGAATATAATGCCTAGTTAACCAAAATACATGGTGTTTGACCCCCTACCTCCATGTAAGAATGTGATAGGCTAAATGGGTCTATCATATTAAAAGGAATACTGATGGAAGTGTGGCTCGATATAAGGCAAGGCTTGTCGCAAAGGGATATCACCAAGAAGAAGAGATTGATTATAAGGAAATATTTAGTCCCGTCATCAGGAAACCTACTGTTCGAGGGTTCTTGAGACTACTTCCATGGGTATTTGTGTTCTTCACCTTATGAGTAACTTCTTGCTGATTTGATCCCATTTTTGTGTTGCCCATTTTGCTATATCTTTGGATAGATTTATCGTTAACTAAGATTGGATTAATTTGTGAAGCAATTGTAATTCTCGTAGTATTTGTTCTGTTTTTATTGAATAATATCTATCACCATGAGTCCTAAGCGTGCTTGGCATGCTTATTCATCGGAGGGGATCTTTGATCCGCATCATTTTATTACGACACAAGCTGCAGATTTATATCATAGATTTTGTCGAGATAACAGTAGTACAGGAACGAGGTTTGGCATCATGCACAATTTATCAACCTCGTATTTCCAAAATATTATGCAGCGTGAATGGGTTGAATTCATTAAATTTGAAATGATCGTGGTTCCTCTTGTATGTGAATTTTATGCTAACATCATAGAGGGAGACAGACATTCATATGTTCTCAGCCATCGAGTCGCTTTTGACCTTGCCACCATTAATGGACATTATCAGTTTTGTGGGTTAGAGCTAGATGAGTACAACATTTATGCCAATGAGCAGCTTAATGTCCGCGGAGATTATTCACAAGCTATTTCAACCTAGGGTTGAGTGGACCAAAGGCGAAATGAGGCTATTAAATTCAAGACTTATTGTGACGTCTGAGTAAAGAGGAGGAATACATGGATGAACCGGTGCCACGCTTGAATAAGAAGAATCTTGAGATCATGGAAGCATGATTAAGAAAGGTTTAAAAGAATTGATAGTCATTATCTATACCAACAAGGTGAACCTTCCTTTTTGATGGCTCAATCATAATAACTCTAAAGTTAAGCGTGCTTCACTTGGAGCAATCTTGTGTTGTGTGACATCCGAAGAGATTTTCTTTGGAAGCATGTGAGTAAGGACAAAGCATGTTGAAAGGACTCATGTTGGTATGTAGGGATGGTTTCCTCTTCTAAGTAGCTCAGATAAAGACAGTGGCACAACCAGGTCGTAGGGGATTAGGGGAATACTTATGATCTTAATATGTCCAACAGGGTATGACACAGTTTATTTATGCTAATTTGCTACCTGTAACACATATGAGTGATGTCATGGGATTAGGGGAATACTTATGATCTTAATATGTCCAACAGGGTATGACACAGTTTATTTATGCTAATTTGTTACCTGTGACACATATGAGTGATGTCATGAATGAAAGGGTAATTCTCATGTATGCTATCACCTCAAAAAGAAATCGATACGCCACTGTCGGTGGTCTCAATATCATAGGTCACTTATCACCTCCTTATGTTAGATGGTAGGTGTTATTTGGGGCCCTAATTAGGGGTTGGTCCATCCTAAATACATTATGTATAAAAAAATTTATCATGGAATTATTTGGGGATTTAGTTATTTGGTCGTAACTACATTACTCAGTAGAAGGAAGAGTCGTTATGTTGAGTTAAGATATACTCGAGGATGAACATGATTTAGGTATGGGAGAATTTGATAAGATGATATTTACACATATATTTAACTTTTCTTTATTATGCATGTGATTAATTATTGGATATAAAATAAACTGTGTTTCCTTGAAGACAAGCAAAAAGTTATGTTTGGCGATGTAAGAACCCTTTATCTCAAGTGTAAAAGGTAATTCATGTTAATTTGTGATCTAATTATTCAAAAAGTTTCCATATTGTGCATACTTGTTAAATTTCATTAAGGATACTTATTTTTACAAAATTTAGCAAAATTCGAATTAGTCTTACCCACATAATTATTATATGTTTATAAAAATGGAGCCATCATACCATAAAGAAGTTGAAGGAGGGGAAATTAGAACCTAAATCTCGAGAGGACAGTGTTGAGATGCTGCAATAGTGTTTCAACCCCATTAGCATGCAATCCATCCATCACATCTGAGGGAGCAATGTCTCAACACTACCCTATATAGTGTTTCACGGCTACAAACATGGAGGTTCAGCGTGCAGAAATCGTCATAGCGTCTCAACACTTCGACTTAGATTCTTCACCTATCTAAGGTTCAGCATTGAGATACTATCCCGAACATATCAACGATCCCGCGACTGTTATAAATATAGAGTATGCATGGCTGTTTCCAAAAGGGGTTTTTTTTTTTTGGAGAATTGGAGTTGGATTACAGGTTCAAGAGTAAAATAGCATAACATAATTTTGAAGGCAATGAGATTGTTTTCAAAGGCGTGTGATCATGAGAGATTGACTCGGGAACGATCAATCACACGACAGATTTAGTTTCTCACATTTCCCTTAACTGTTCTAGTTTTGTTATGGGATTTTTATTGAGATTTTGTTGTATTCTTACGAACATGAGTAGCTAAACAAGTTGTCTTAGAGATTGATGTAGCCAAGAATGATTAATTAGTTTGCCATGATTGATTTGTTCTTAATCTACTTGTATATTTATTTGCTTAATGTCTTTAATCTCTTCATCACAGATTAATTGTTTTTAAATTTAAACTTTATGCTCCGTAGAGGTGATCTAGATTGTAACTTTAATGCATGATTGGAGTAGTTCTAAAATTGGGAAGTTTAAGAACTGCTTTAGAAGTTGTTAATAGAAAAAGACTTTAGGCCTTTACTTGTTAACGAAATTAGATAGGGATATTTGATTTGTTAACGAAATTAGATAGAGATAGACAATTATGATTTATGATTTATTGATTAATTGCTTGTTTAATCTTGGCCTGTTTAATTAGTTTTCTTGTAAATTCAGTTGGTTAAGCCAATTTCCTAGGACTCCTTCCTATCATAGAATTTTGCCTTGATTTTATTACTTGTACTATTTTTCTTAACTGATTTTAAAAGTCATTGTTGTTTCTTTAAATAAAATTAGCCATTAGTATTGGTGGTACTTGAGTGGACTAGAAATCAAATCCACTCGATTTTTATTAGAGCTTGACCCGTATACTTGCGGTGAGCAATTTCTACTACACCGCACCATTTTCTTAGTCTCTTTGATCACTATCCAAAATTTTCATTACTTCTACAAAAATCTATACAATATATTATGTTAAATCGACACTTGGACTGATTTAATCATTTTAAAATATACTAATTTTTCTCTTTCGTGGATTCTTATGTTAGCACAAGGCCAACTTACATGGATGAGAAATAAGTTGAAAAGCTAAAACTACATTGAAGTTAAAGTATATATGATATAACTATGTTGTAGGCATTAAAATTTGCATTACTTGTTTCCAGCGGGGGATCGATATTTGTACTTGACAGCCCAGAAAAGGTAGTGCAAAAAGTTCAATCCAGTGAGCGTGCACATGAGCCAGTAGAATCTGTCAAGATGGTAGTGATTAATATTGTCACCGGAGAGCCATGGGGTGTGGCCGGATCTAGCGGTCACACCGTTCACCACCGTCACAATAACCGAACTCAGGTAATACCCGACGGCCAAAGAAGCCCAAGATAGTGACGTGGCCAAGGATCTCATCCCAGTAGGCGCCTCCGTGAAGAAAAACTCCAACAAGCCAGCCAAGGTGAACAAATCCGCCGACCCCAGAAAAAGGTACTGGAATGCAAGCCAGAGGAAGGTGAGGGGGAGTGGTTCAGCGGTGCTGTTTTGAGCGAGGTCCTTACGCTTGGTCTCGACAAGGGCTGCAACGGCCATGGCGAGGACGGAGAGGAGGAGGCCAACACCTATGCGTTGGAGGTGGGAGATACCAGACTCAGAGTTGGTGAGGTTGCGGGCGAAGGGGGCGAGGACATGGTCGTAGAGTGGGACGAGGACAATGATGAAGAGGACGGGAAAGACGGGGAGTGAGGCTGGGGGGAGCTTGAGGGAGCCGATTCGGGTGTCCATTGTGGAGGCTTGTTGGACGGAGAAGGTCGAGAGTTGGGCGAGGCAGCAGTTGAGCATGACGGTGCAAGCAAAGATTGGGAGCACTTTGAGAACCGTTTTCACTTCTTCTAGTTGTTGGTTTGTGCAGTTTAGGGATGGGTGGAATGGCTGTTTTTCTACTGCTGTGTTGAGAAATTTTAGGCTTTTTGTTGGAGTTAGAGCTGTACTCATTGTTTCGGCAGGGTTATTATTATTGGATTGGCCTTCCTCCAACTCGAGGGTTGTTGTTACGGAAGGGCTTGTGCTCATGCTCGCCACTGCGTTGGTCGATGATTTGTTGCTGCAGCAACGGTTCAAAGTTGCAGCCACCAAAACCTGGTCACACACAAACATATATTATAGCTACAAACTCAAACAGTATAATTTAGTCAGAATTCATCTGTTACTGACAACTATTAAATTTTTAGTATCAGTCAGCTAGAAAAATGTATCTCTTAAACTCTAATTTACCTTTAGAATTGTAGTAAGGGGGCTTCCAGTTGGTATCTTGTTTCGGTAGAAGGTGGATCCAGAAAGGAATAAAGGAATAGAGAGAAATATGGTGATGGTTGAGATTCCAAAGCCCCACTCCCATCCCAAGTTGTCTTCGATCCAAACCACAAGAGTGACGGCCACAAGAGCCCCACAAGAGAGACAGAAGACGAAGTAGTTGAAGAAAGTGGATCTCCTCCTACGCCCTTGAGGCGTGCCTTCGTCGAACTGCTCCGCCCCGTGCGCCGGCAATGATCCCTTTATCCCGCCCACCCCCAATGCCACCAGGTATAGCCCCACGAACAGCATCGCTGCCTCTCCCCCACCCACCTCCCTACATGAGCTCCCATTCGTCGCCTTGCACGGCACCGGTTTTAGAGATGGGACCTTCGCTTGTACTGTCAAGATCACCAACCCCTTTTTTTCCAACTCCAATAATCAGCATAAAAAAAAATGAAAATACTCGGAGTAACATTTTCCTCACCACAATTAAAAGTTTGATAATTAAGAGCGAGAAATGAAGAAACATAGATTTTCTAAAATAATTAACCAATTGTCAATTTTTCCAAGACAGTGAAGACAAGATTTGGTCTTCCAAAAAAAAACTATCTCCTCTATTCTTTGCTTGCATGTCCTTTCTTGTAATCGGAAAAAAAAAGTATAGTGATGATCAGTGAAAAGATATCGATCAGCATCCATATAATGATATTGTTTTTTATTTTTTCAGTAGAAGTGAAAAATGTAAAAGTGAAGATATGAAGTTGAGGGAAAAAAAAAAGAAAAGAAAAGAAAAGAAAGAAGAAAAAGACAAGAAAAAAACTTTATTTGGTTTGACGCAAAGGGACGAGTTCCAATGTCGTAACGCACACACTCGTGGATGACATTGCATTCACGCCAATGTGGGGCCCACACTTTAACAAAAAGAAACCAAGAGGAAAGTTTTTTTTGTTTTTTTTTCTTTTTGTTTTTTCTTTCCTACCTAATTATTTATCATTTTTCTCCTTCTAAAATAACACGCCAACGCCATACATTTTCTTTTAAAATAATTAACGGTCTCTTATAATTAAAAAAGATAAAAAAAATAATTATAACTACCTCATAATGTCACTTAAGTTAAATATGGAATGTTGATACATGATATGTAAAAATTTTACTTTATAAGAGTGGATCTTTTTTAAATTTGAAATATTTTCTTATCATCTCATCGTGTCATATTTCAAATATTCTCTCTAATTCATTATTCAATTTTAATGATATTGTTGAGTAAAAATTTGATTAAAAATCTTCATGGCATTAGAAATGAAACTGAAACTTCTAATAGAATATCTAAGGATAAGGTCGAAAATACTATTTTCATGCCCAAAAATCTTCTTCTTTAAAAAATATGATACTTGAAAATAACATAAACTTAAAATATTTATAAAGTACTTTTATTTAAATATTTAACTAAGAAAGAAGTTTTAAGATCATAAAACTAATTATGAAAGTGATTATTTATCAAATATTTTGATTTATATTTAACTAAAAATTAACACCTAAAAAACACAATAAATATATCATTTGACCACAAAATTTGACGAACATTAATTTTTTTAATTTTCTCCCAATGTGTAGGCTCATAAAGGCTCGTTTTGTCCCCAACTTGGATTCCTATTATGGTCATTATTCCAACTTAATTAGTTTCCTTTTATGGTGAATTTCTATTTTTTAAAAATGGAATTCCATGTAATATTTTCTTATTGTGGGTTATTTCTATAGTTTTTTGTTATATTAAATAAAGATTTTACTAGTATTCTTATCCAACAAAAATTAGCTATCCTTAAGAATAATTAGTCTTTTAATTCCATATTGCTGTATACATGCACCCTCCTTTTTATTATATTCAAAATTTTCTTAGCTGGTTTTTTCTTTTTTCTAGATCAATTAATCATTTTAGCCTTTATAATTAATATTTTAATTTAATTTAATTCATATACATTGATTAAATATCTAAAGCAACAATCTTATTACTAAATCAATATTAAAAAAAATTTGAAATGACATTTTTTTAAGTCATTAGGCTCTCTCTATTGTATCCTAACATCAGTAATAACACAAACATTTTTAAAGACTAACCCGAGGGCTACGAAAGAATGAAGTTAGAAAATTTAAAACTACTAAAATAAAATTGAAAATAGACACAGATCATATAAATTAAAAAATGAAAATGATAACTTAACTTTTTTTTTCTTTGTTATAAATTACAAGTTTCGTTGTTGGGATCTGTGTCATTATCTTGAAAAAGAAACGGATGGATGCCTACGTTCTTTTGAGTGTGGGACATCTCCCCTTTGAATTTAATTCAATTCATTTCATTGTTCAACCCCCCAAAATATAAAATAATAATAAAAAAATCCTTTGTCAAAAATAATAATAATAATAATTAAAAAAAAAATCAATCTTTCTTTATCCTCTCTGCTCTCACTCGACCACTTTAAATGAAAAACTTGTATTTCTCGCTCAACACTTATCTTGTATTGACCACTACTAAATTTTCGACATAGGTAAACAGATATAATTTTTTTGTATTTTTCAAAAAATAAAAAATCTGTGAAATTTTTTTAAGTAGCTAACACCAATTACATGGGTGCTGATCGATAAAGCAATCTTCAAAGATTGCCACTAAAAATTTGAGAAATATTTATTTTTCTTAAATAATAAAAAATATCTTTTTTTCCTCATTCCACTCTCCCATCTATCAAAAATTGAACGGCGGTCGATAAAAAATGAGTGTTGACCTACTTAAAAGTAGAAGAAAGACTAGTATCTTAAAAGTAGAAGAAAGACTAATATTAAATGAAAGTACCCGATTTCTTTAATTTTGTCATTATCATTAATAAATGTTTGACAATTAAGAGAGAAATAAGGAGACAATTAGTCTCTGTACTAAATTTCAGTGTCGTATTTCTAAACCCACGATGACCCAATTTTGAGAAAACTGAGAAGAAACTCAAATTGTTGCCACAAATCTCATGACCCATCGTAAAGCAAAATCATACACACAAACATGTATAATTTGTTTTCAAAATGGAAAAGATTAAAAGAGAGAAAAGTTGAAAACTCTTTAAGTTCTCTATGCATGTACTTTGGTTGAGAGAGAGAGAAAGGGATAGAAAAGTACCAGAAACTCAATGAGGGAGGAGAAAAGGAAGACGTGATAAGTGGTGAAAAAGGCATCCGATAAGAAGCCACCAAGAAGGGCGAGAAGGAAGGCTGTGGCCATGAAAGTCGTGACATGGTTTGCCGATTTCTCCGGCGAAAACCCCATGTACTTCCTCAAGTACATCACCAAGTTGCTTGCATTTGCCAGAAACGCCAAGTTCTCCAGTATCTCCACCCCCAGCACGAACCCCGCCGCCGCCATCCCCCCGTGCCGCCCCCTCACCGCCACCCTCTTCCGCCAGTCCACGTACCCCTCCCATCTCCTCCCGCTCTCCTCCGCCGCCTTCTGTAATTCATTAAATTTACTCTAACTCATCCATTAAGACAACCGACAGAGGCAAAGAGAAGAGAAAGGAAAGAAACTCACCATTTTTCTCTGCTTCTTTTTCGGGCTGCAATTCAGTGAAACTTATGGGTGGCTGAAGTGGTATTTATAGAGCCAAGAAATCAAGAGTCAGAGGGAGAAGAGAGATAATATTCCAACGGCGAGAGAGAATGGTTTAAGAGTAACGCCTTTTAACAAATCTAAATTCCCTTACTTTGGTACAGCACAAAAAGGACTTTAACAAAGTTCTGGAGATAATATACTCCCAACTTAACGTAATTATTATTATTCTTATTATTATAAGCTTTAATTATAAGTTTTCTTTTAAGTGTATTTAATAAGTCTATGCTTCTTTAAGAATTGTTTCATATATCCCTAAACTATGAATTCTGCGTTAGATTTGTAAATTTTAAAAATTTCTAATAAATATTCTAAAGAATTTTTTTATAATTATTTTATTTTTTATTTTCTATTTTTGAAACTTAAGCTTACAAATACTACTTTCATCTATTTATTTCTTTGTTTTATATCATCTATGGCTCTCTCAAATATTTTTTTAAAACTATAGAAGTTGCTTTTCGGAAATTTGTTTTTATTATTGAAGTTTGGTTAAGAATTTAAAAGAAATATGAAAACATACTAAATAAATTCCGTCTAAACAACTGTAATTTTCAACAATAGAAAATTATAAATAAAACGGTTATCAAACAAGTCTTTAAAATTTCAGTTTTAGATCTAGTAGTTCTCTAAAAATTTTGAAAAATGTTTAATAAGTCGGTGATATGTCATACACAAAATTGTAAGTTTGAGGTCTTAACTATCATATACAAAATTAAAAGTAAAAAATTAATTAGACAGGACATTCAATAAAAGTTCAAAATATATATATATTTTTTAGTACATCATAGGAATGGAAGGTTCTTACTCACGATCAGGCGGACCAAAGACCTATACATTAGATACAAGCCTGAAATATTATTCCACCAGGAAACCTATAACTCAACTTTTTATAAAACTGATGGCCTATAAATTATATACTTTTGTGATTTGAAATACAAACTCATATTGCCATGTTGAATTGAATAAGGTACTTTTTATATTGGAGCAAAATTTCTTTGTAATTAACATATCAATATTTGTAGTAATATTTGTATAAATGATAAGGTTTGCTTTATGATGAGGGGAAATTAATGCCTGTGTGATGCCTGAAACGAATGAAAATTATAAAGAGAGGAATCAGCGGAGCAAAAGAGGAAGCATAAATATGAAACGGCTTCTAGTTCTACCCAACCTTCCACGCATAAAATAGCACATAAAGGAAACTAACTTCATTTTTAGAAATTTTGAGATTGCAAGCATAAGATTCTTCAAGGTCTTGAAACAAAATCCTAAATTATTGATAGCTAGGTACTATCTTTTTTACAAACAAGAGGGTGCATTGGAATTCTATAGCTAATTGTGCCTAGCTCCAAACAATTTTAGATTAATAACCTTCTAAAGAAAGTTTTGTAAGAAACACGCGAGTGAAGGCAAAATCCAACTAGATGTTGTATTATAGGATAACGGTACTCCTAGTACCCGAGAATCTCCATAATGGTAAGATATTGTCCGCTTTGGGTATAACCTTTACAGCTTTGCTTTTGGTTTCACCTAAAGGGTCTCAAACCAATGGAGATAATTGTACTATCTTATATACCCATGATCACTCATTTCTCTAGTCAATGTGAGACTTTGTTAGTATTTCACTTACAAACTCAAACCCAACACATGTGTCCCACTGGTAGAACAAGGAGCTGGAAGACTTCCGAACTGACGTCTGAAGACTCCATGAGAGGTTGAAGAGAGTTCGGGCTAATGTCTTCACTCTATGATCCTAGGGACACATAATTTGGGGAGGAATAATATTCAATGTCGTTAACCGCAAGTGCGATTTCGAGAGATTCTGTAAACTGAAGGAGAAATCGTCAGTGGGAATGACTTCTCAAAGCTGTCACCACTTATAAATTAGACGGGTAAAACTCATTCAAGGGTAAGTGAATCCTGACAAAAATTATATACTTAATCCGACCTATAGTAACTTAATTAGTTTCGGAGTGCTCATCCTTTGTCTTGTAAGTTCCTCTCTTCGCGTCATCGTTTGTACAGTATATTCTGTAAACAAATATGGTGATTATGTCCTAATTGAGTTTCAAAAGATCAATTTAGAAATTTAGACTAACTGCTGGTGTTTCCTTCCTCTCTCTCTCTAACTCTTCTATCTATTTGTTATCGCACTCAAATCAAATTTGATTTTCTAAAACTTTTTTTGTTTTTTTTTAAATATTTCCATTCCTATCAACATTTAAGTCTGTAACGAAAAGAAGTGAAACAAACTATTTATCTTATGTAGAATTATTAAATTAATATAAATTTAGAAATTTTATTTATTTATCCTTGAATGTTTTTGGACTTTTTTGCATGTGTTTTGTTGACCATAAGAAGTTAGGTATTAAATGCAAAGTTAGTGATTTTGGATCATCATGCAAATTCCATATATATTGTTGTGAGTTTGAACTTATCTCCTTTTTTTCCGCAATTATATAAATTTATTTCTGTTTTATTGTATATTCAGAAATCAAGCTGCATTCATAACGATGGAGCTTATTCTTTAATTATATTTCACTACACGTGTTTGATGATGCGACTTCCAGCTGAAATGAGGGGTAAATATTAAATTAGGATAACTACTTCGTTTTAATTTTTAATTTTTAGAAATTTATCATGGTTCATCGGAATTTCTTTGGTATGTATATTTTTTGTTTTAGTCAAATTTCAAAAATAAAGATGGGGTTTCTTTTGCTTAAATTTTGTATATTAAATTATGTCATTCTAGAGTTATGCAGACGAAAAATTACAAACTCGATAGAGACTCTAGAATGGTGAGCATATACTTATTCTAGACGCGTTATCTAGAGAATAGAGGAAAGAGAAGATTTGTGGGGATAGTTCCATATACAAAACCCGAATGACATATGTTATATATGCCCTAGAACTATATAATTGTGGATACAGATCCCATAAATAGTTCTACATACAGAGGAAGTGTGACTGTCACTTAAGGTATGCAGACGCACGACTGACAAAAACTCTATAATGGGCGGAGCATATACCCATGCTAGATGCACGACAGAATACATGATATGATTATTTAGTCTCTGAATATACTTACTCCCTCTATATTTCAAAAACTCTCCAACTTCGTTTGAATTAAATCTTCTTTAAATTTATGGTTCGTCTTTTAGGTTTGGTATTTTCTTTTATATAAATTTAGGATTTTAAAGAATAAAATCAAAATGATCTCCTAAGTTACTTTTTTAAATATTGATTATGTATACATCGTTGATTTCCTAAAATTATTATCCATTTGATTTCAGGGGCATATTTATCCTAAATAAAATTGAAAATTAAATCATAATTGATAGTTAGCCGTTATCACAATATTAGATACTTTTGACCATTTTTTCAAAACACATTATTTTTTATGTCATTCCTTTCGTTGCCCCTTACTTCTACTATGTGTTTTCTTTAGTTTCTTATCTTCTTTTTACAAATATCTAAAAAATTTTATTCAAGTTTTGAAGACTAAAAGTAGTTTTTAAATTTTTTTTATTAAATTAAGCTAGAAGTCAAATGTATATTTAAAAAAGGCAAAAAAACATGCCAAAAAGAAAGCTGGGAAAACAAGCATAATAGAATTTAAATGTTATTAAACAGGGTCTAAAATGTTTAACTAAATTATATATATAATAAATTAAGTCAATTCAAACATGAATGAGTGGATAAGACACCAATTAATGAGTGGATAAGACATCAATTACCAATTACCTTCCCTACCGTACAAAGTTCGATCCGTAAATTTTTGTAAATTTATATTTTTTAAAAGTAAACGAAGCATTCAAAAAAATTATTGTAAATGTAGTATTTTTCTAGGACTAACATATACCTGTGGTTCTGAAATTTAAATTTATGTATCTTATCAGGTAAAATCAAGGGTCACGTGTTGAAGGCTCCTCCAGCTCCAATCACATGTGTAGCGGGTCAAGAAAAGAGTCGCAAATGAATGAGCACACCGGGCCAACTCCCAAGCGTACCGACAACAGGGTCGAGCCCACTTGAACATCTCGTACAAAGGACAAGCAACAAGTAGGGTACTAACACCGTGTGCAATATGCCTCAAGGGACCAGGATGCCGTCATGCCCTCTCATCGTGGCACGAAGGGAAAAAGAGTATGTCATTGGTTCCCCACGACCCTGGAAGCACGGGATACTGCTCCCCCGTGTCCGCCTCATACATAGGAAATCTCTCTCTCTCCATATATACAAGGAAAATGTGCGTAAAAGTCAATGGACTAAAGATTAAGTTTTATGTGCACTAAATTGCATAATGTACGTTATGTAATATTCTAAAGTTCGGGGAATCCACCCTTATGATTTCTATTTGAAAATCGTTAATAAATAATTCTTAAAATTATTAATAAATAATTCTTATATGTGTGTAAACATTTTAAGAAAAAGATGAACGAAATATTAGAATAAAATGCTAGAATTAAGTGAGTTGTAGTAGCTATCATGAGGGAAAAGATAGCTAGATAAAGAAGAGATGAAAAAATCCATCCATATTGATGAAAGCGGTTAACACATTGATTGATTCTCAAATGGTAAAAACATTAAAAAAAAAAACATTAAAAACATTAAAATCCATCCATACTTGCTTTTGTTTCTTTTTTCTTTTTTTCTCTATAAAAATAACATTAAAAAAAAAAACACAATACAAAAGACATACACTATAATCCCTTAAAAAGAGCTTTAAAGAAGGAGAATCCTTAGGGTGCACTGAAATCATTACCGTTTTTTTATTTTTATGTTTGTAAATAAGAGGATGGGTTTCTTTTTTTAATAGTCTTTTCTGTTACCTCCTTTTCACTGAAAAAGAGGCATAAATGCAATAATTGTTTTTTTTCCCTTTATGGGCACGAAATAAAATTTTAAAAACATTTATTGTTTACTGGAAAAAAAAAATAGAGACTAGCTAGATATATATATTTTTTTAAGTATAGCATGGCAGCGTATTTATTTGAACTCATAATTTTTTTTTATCATAGTTAATCTATTCAACTATAT